GCCGTCATCGCGTTGGAAGCGCCACCACCTCCCATCTCGGGCAAAAAGCGCAAGGCCGCCGATGAGCTGACTGCGGCAGAAAATGGCGTCGTAATCGTGGACGCCCATGGTTTCAAGAAACAAAAACCTGGAGAGCATACCATTGCGATCAGGTAGATTCTTGCTGCACTGTATTGTCATTAGAATTCTACAGAGCCCAAGTCCTCTTCATGGTAGTTCTCCTTGATTAACCGGTATACGTAGCTCGGAGGGAATTCGCCGACATTCGTTATGTAGACGTCAACGTGTTGCGGCTTGACGTACTCGAGCATCGGTGCGACGATCTCCGTCTCTTCTATCACCGACGCGTGCAGCTTCGGATCGTCGAACATGAGGACTGACGCCGGCGGATGCGCAAAGCCCAAGCCGGCAGAGACGGCGCTGCGGCCGCCACTTGCACCCTCTTGCCCTGTACTGACGGCCCACTCCCAGCGTGGGCACACCTTGTACACACCCGAGCACACGACGACGGGTGTTGATTGGTTGCGCGCTGCCAGCGCCGTCATGGCGCATCCTGCTTCCCCTAGCAAGCCGCCATTGGCAAGGACGGCATGTGCGCCAATCACGACTTTCGAGACGCGCGGCATCATCGAGAAGATACTCGAGTCGGGCACGAGGATGGTCGAAATGCCGGCAGCCGACAAGACCCGGGCGGTCTGGTGGCCAGAATATCTGCGTGAGAGGCGGACACGGATGAGTGAGACAGAAGCGTTCTAGACATTTCCTTCTTGGGAGGACTCACGAAGGCGCCGTCTCTGCGACAATAACGGTGAATTTACGATCCTTGGCCGCAGCCTTGAGGAATGCTTCGACGGTGCGTGATCTCCCCATCGTTAGCACCAGCTCGCTACGAGAGTGGTAGAAAGAGGGTCAGGAAAAGACCATTATAACGCGAAAGAGGGAGACTGACCCTGAATGGATGTGGTCTCGCGCATCGCGAGCGACGTTGCTGTTGACCGTTTCGAGTTCGTCGAGCAAGTCTTGTATCGCTTGTATGAGAAGCGGCTTGATTTGGTGCGCAATCAGCCGTACCTTCCCTTGCTGTGCTAATATATTCTTTGTTGCTACTGTGCTCGTCGACGCTGATGTACTGGGAGCCATCGTCGCGTCCTCTCCGGCGCCACCTTCCTCTCCATCCTCGTCCTCATCTTGCTCATCCTCGTCTTCGTCCTCGTCTTCTGATGCTTCTTCCTCCTCCGCATCATCATCGTCGAAATTCATCATCGTGCCATCGTTGCTCCTCCTTTTACCCTTTCGCGAGGCTGAGGGCCGGGTGAACAGGGCGGAGGCACCACCAACCAGTGATGTACTCTGCGAGCTGGTTGGAGCGCCTGGCGTTCGCGACCCGTCCGTGCTCGCTGCACTGCCGATGGCGCTTGCAATTCCACTAGCACAAGCGCTGCTGCTGCCCGGTGCAGAGCCAATGAGATCGGAAATGCTAAAGCTGGACCCAAAGGCTGACTCGGATCGTTTCGACAATAGAGACGGACGCAAGAGGTCGAAAGGATCTTTCTGATGGGCTGAATGAGAGCTGCCTGCCATGGAGAGCATGGATAGTGATGGAATTAGCGAAGAAGGGCCCGAGAGTCCCGGAGTCGAAGGCGCTGTGCTTGTCGGTGAAAAGAGTGTCGGACTTGGAGCTTCCGAATGAGCGTTGGATGCCATGGGCGTGATGAGCGCCTTCATCTCCTCTCTCAGCAAGTGTAAAACCCTGAGAGTAATGTTGCCAACGGTTTGCTCTGCAGATAAAGGCAAGAAGATTCGATCAGTCCGGCGAGATGAAGCAGACATATGCTTGCTGGGACACACCTCCTGGTTGCGCATCTTGCAAGAATCTTCCAGCCACTCGAATGATGTGCACGAGCTCTTCCACATCTTGAAACTTGCTCGTGCTGACCACCTGACGTAGCGCTTTTGCTGTAGCGTTCGCCACTTGGCTTGGTCCGGACAACTGTCTGCGTTGGAGCTGTAAGGCCAAATTGCGCAGAACCGTGAGCGTTGAGCGGTCACGGATGACTTGCTCCACTGCACAGAAGGACGTCTCCTGCACCGATGGCATTTTGCCGTTCCTGCTTGGAAATTTGAACGGGTAACTCCCTTTCGGCATCAGCGATGACCTTGGTAGCTTCGTGCACTACCTGAGGAAGACCTAAGCAAGCAGTGATTCCCCAAGGTGCTTGCATCAAACACCAAGAAAAAGAGGATATGGGTTTCAGAGCAACTCAGTTCTCGTCTGTGTTCTTGTCCCTGTACTCTGCCTCATCACTATAACAGATGATTCTGTGAGCGGAACAGACTCGGTCATTCGAGACCTAAGCCAAGATCAATAAGAGCAGGAGTTGTCCTAGAAGTACATGCGTATGTACTGGAGTGTGGACTCGAGATAGGACATCCTTGTTCACGAGCAGGTACATCGGTGTCGAGCGCGAAGGCATGCACTGTCTTTGACGAGAACGGTCGTGTCACAAACGAAATCGCATCTTTCGTGTGCTGATGACCCATGTTGCACAGACAAGGCCAGCCGACGAGGAGCTGCCGTCGTTCCATGGCGACTTGAACGTGTTCATCACCGTCGGCTCGACTCGATTCGATGCACTGATATCACACTCTGTCCTTGATGTGTCCTTCCTGCACTGCCTTTCAGATGCTCTGAAGGACCTCGAGAATACATCCGCAGACAACACGGTACATGTCATCGCGCAATATGGCAACGCAGACCTGGCCGAAGTGATCGGCAATTCGAGCCTTGTATCATCTGACGGCGAAGAAATCGATGGCGACCGACGTGCAATGCATGGCAGGCTCTCGCTAGATCTCGAGCCTCCAGGTCAAGCAGTATTCTTTAGTACCAATGGAATCCTGCAGGGATCCCTCAAGCAGGACTCGTCAACGCCCTGTCCACGAGTCGAGATCACCCTGTTCAAATTTGCGCCGAACCTGCGCGCTTGCATGGAGGCTGCTGACGTAGTAATCAGCCACGCGGGTGAGCTTCCCTGACCACTTGTATTGCTTGCATCACAGTGGACAATTGTACTAAACTGGCTGCCTGCGCAGGCTCTGGGACCATTTTGGAAGTCTTGCGACTGCCTCCCATCTCACGAACACGTGCGCACGAGCGACAGCTAATTGTCGTACCCAACAGTTCCTTGATGGACAATCACCAAGTAGAACTGGCCGAAGCCCTCGCCGATCATCCAGACGGACCCTATGTGCACGTTGCTACGTTCGAGTGAGTAGCCTGGTATGCTCGAAGCCTTGCTACAGTGCTTATCTGACATTTCTCCGCAGTCAACTCTCGGACAAGATGGCTTCCGTGTTACTTGCGATGGGCCGCGGCGAGAGCAAACTAAAGCCGTTCCCTGCCTTTGACGGTAGCCGTCTTAACGCACTGATCGACGAAGAAATGGGCTTCATGTAGTGCCAACCGTCTGTCAGCATCCCAACGCCACCGCTCGTTTGAAGCAGATCGAAGCAATGCAGGCCAAGTACGATTCGAGTGAAATGTCAAAAGTCTACAGGTTGCAATTGAAGAGAGCCCGATCGAACTTGCGCATGTATGCTGCTGATGAAAGCCCCTAGCATGTGTGAAGATTAGGAAGAATGCGAAGTTTGGAGACAGCAATGCTGTAATTCTTGAAGCAGGAGCAGCACCTGTCGGTGCAGCTCTCTGTGCTTATTCATGCCTCTGCGTAATCCGTGTGCTTTCAAGTTGTAGGACGCGAGTGCAACGCTCAAGCGCGATTCTGAGATCCATGGACTGAGCCACCGAGGCTTTCTGCACCAATGACGTCCACCCCTTGTTCATTCTAAGAGAAAGGTGAGCAGTAGTTCAGTCCAAAAAGATCTCACGCTTCAAGGAGTGCATATGGGCTCCTTACATCATCTGTCACGCCGAGACTCGACTTGCCGTCTTCAGAGTGTCTGAAGGCGCTGCTGATCAGTGAGGCGGTCGTCGATGCCTTCAATGGATCACTGGACGAGGCGCTATTGCCTACCGTGCCGCTCACGCTCGTCACGCTGTCCTGCTGTTGAGCAGCTCTCTTGTTTTCGGTCTGCACTGAGGGAAAAGACATTGCGCCATTCGAGTGCTGGGATGAGTACTGCACCTGCTGAGAATGCAGACGCGATTGTTGCTGATGATCAGTCGGATAGCGTGTGATGCGCTGCTGCTCCCGCAAGCCATTCGGTCCGGCGGCGTTCAAAACCCAGGCCTCCCAGCCAAACATCTTGCGCACCATCATCCGCTCGGGATCAACATCCAACACAGTGCTGTACAGCAGCGTGTCTACTACCGTCTTGAGATCCGCGCCAAGCCTCTTGATGCGGTTGAAAGCAGCGACAGTCGAGACGGGCACCCAGCCGTCCGAGTCCATGCAGTTGCGTAGGAAAAAGTCGCCTTGCAGGTTGCGCTGAGAAAAGTAGAATTCTATCTGTGCAAGCAATTGGTACGTAGGGCCGTCTGGCATATGCCCGACTGGTGCAGATGTAAATGTTGATTCAGGCGGCACAAAATTCGCATTGTTGTAAAGATATGGATCGTAGCCGAATTGAGGGTAAGCGGCCCAATTTTGCTGCTGGGGTGGTGCATTGTAGAAATATGGCGATACTGGCATGCCGGTTCGGTAAGAACCTTCAGTCTCTGCAAAAGGCATGCCCCCTGGATAGTAGGTACCTTCCGGTTGCGTAGCACCGGCAGCAGCGGTGGCGGAAGCGTGCGCGAAAGGGATGTATGGCGGGCCGACGTTACCCGCCGAATTTCCACGAGCACCACGAGCGCTGCCTCTGCCACGCGTTGACTGTCCCCGACGGGGGTGCGACTGACCGCGCAGAACATACGCCGTCGGCGCGGGCATTGCGTACGAATGCCCCAGCTCAGTTTGGCAATGTGAGTTGCTGGAGGTACTTGCTTCAGCAACCGAAGCATTTGGAGCGGTTATTGTTGAGGCATCCTCCTTCTCGGTTACCACCTTTGTCTGCGGTTGTGGTTGCGACGGCGCGTGCGGTTGCGACTCTTGCTTCGTGCTAGCCACTCTTTTGCTCGGTGTTGCCCCTTGCGCCGACGGCTGCTGCTGCTGCTGCCGCCGCCCTGCATCTGCTTTCATGAGGGAGTGAGATGCAGCGCTGTTCTTACGAATCCGAGTGGAACGCGCTTCAGAAGAGACGATCGAGTTTGTCCTGTCGTCTCCAACTGCCTTCTTCCGCGACGCTACCGCCGTGGGCGAGCTCTTGCGCGACTCGCTCGTACCCTGGCTCCCACCTTTACTGCCAGTGCCACCTTCCCTGTCCTTCCCAGGTGCTGGACCATTGTGGATGATAGTCGGCACAAGCGGAATGTACTGCTTGCCTTTGCGCTCTGTCGGCTGCCCGGACGTCTGAAGCTGCAGCTCATCTATCGTTGTTTGTATGCTGCTTGCGCTCACGTTACCCTCCTGCGCATCTCCCCGTTGAGAAGATAGGCTCTTCCGATGCTCGACAAGA